ATGGGCTTGGAGAACAAGGAGCTGGCGGCCAGGCAGGTCCAGTGCCCACAACAGCTGAAAGCAGCCCCTCACTCCCCCTTAGCGTGCTCGTGGCATTCACAGCACCATCCCTTAGTGCTATGTCAAGTGCACACAGTGAACGCCCTCCGTTCCTTGCCACTGACTGGTATTTTCAGCATCTCCCGGACTGGGCGGAGGGTCATTGAAGACTGGGACTGGTTCGGTGGTTGCACACAGCAGTGAAATGCCGCGGAGATCTGAAGCAAGCCCAGGGCCCCCAGCTTTGCAAAGCCGAAGGGGAGAGAGGCCGTGAATCCAATGATACATTTGCAAACTCCCTGCCTTTCTCAAGGGTGGCTTTAAGTGAGGCACGAGGGCCACCGAACACCCCCCGGTGAGGGTCTCAACACCGCAGCCGGCTCGAGGCTCGCCAGCTGGAGCGAACCTCAGCCGGCCCCAAACACGCTCCTTAGCACGGGGGCCTGCATTTCATACTGGCCCTGCCGAGCCCAAGCAAGCAGCGAGATGGAGGAGAAGGGATTGTACCTCTCCAAGGCCAGGACAGACCTGAGGGAGACCCGAAGGCTGGGAGCTTGAGCCAACGCACACCTTGGGGCAACACAGCAGCCAGCCTTTCCAAGAAGGGGCAAGCCATGAGCCACAGCTCCTGGGCCACCCTGCATGCAAGATCTGGGGGTCCAGGTCCCCCTTACTGCAGTTGTCCGCTGGAGGAAGGAGGAGGAGAAAATCAGCACATGCCACGAGGGGGGAGATGACTTTTCTAGGGTACGTCTACACGGCGCTGCATGCTCTGGCTGTCCCCGAGGTCGTGTGGGTACCAGGAGCAGCCTGGCCACAGCTACTGGGATGCAAGCGGGTTAGTCGAGAGCTAACGGGGGTCCGCCTGCCCCGTGACTGCAGGAGACGCATACCCTCCATCTCACCATAGCCGAATCTCCGCAGCGATCTGAAAAAGCAGGGGCTATTTAGGGCCAAGGCGGTGTCCCCATCCATCCCTCCTCCCTGGTTTCATGCATCTCAACCCGGAAATCTGCAAAGTCACCATCAAGATAAGCAAGGGACAGCTGCAGGCGCGCCTCGCCCCAGCCTCAGGCCACGCCAGGGCCTTCGCACACGTGGCCTGCCCTATTACTGCCTAGGGCCAGGCCCCGGGAGGTGACTGGCTGAGGCATCGGACTGACTTGAGAGCGCAGGGGCTCTGCTAGGGGCAGTGGAGCCCAGTCCAGCCCCGCCGCTGCAGACAAGTCGGACTAATTAGCCCTGCAGAGCAATGGGGCCAATTAGCCTGCCCATGCAGAAGAGGCTACACCGCTTCCGGAGCAAGGTGGCAGCCTGCCTGGGCAATACGACACGGCAGACAAAGCTTCTGCCATACACACACGGCCCGTGCTATCTCCCTGCCATATTACCTCCCAAACCAGGGGTGCAGCATGCTTCATTCCCAGCATCTCTGCTTCCTGCAAGTCGCTCAGTACTCCTGGATGGGACCCAGCCCCATAGGCTTGTGCCAGCCGAGACCCTTGCCTGTCACTCACTCGCCCCCCTTGCAGCTGGAAATTACACAAAACACGGGAGCTGGGAAATCCTGATCAAGCCAGCAACGAAGACGATCCCCGGCTCTGGAGCATTTTCCAGGGCAGCAGTACGCATGACGTGACTCCCCGCCCTGCTGATTTAGTGCCCGTCCTCCACCCACGGAGCCTGAGACCAGCTCTTTGGAAGGTGTCACGTCCTTGGATCCTTAATATTTCCCCCTAAAAAAGGAGATCCAGCCTCGGGCAGAGTCAGAGGCAAAACCGGAGTGTGGCTATTGCAGCTTGTCTCTAGCTATCTGGGAGGATCGGGTGCTGCTGCGTGTTGTCAGCATGGCATCAGCGGAGGGCGTGATGGAGAGATAAGCAGCAGCTCACGATTATCTGATGAAACCAGCTAGACAGCCGCAGCAAATGCAGAAGCAAGCAGCAAGATGGTGAGAAAAAGCCCAGAGAGGGTCACTGCCGCTTGCTCGGCCTTACCCGAGCGCCCCACCCGGGCAGTGCAAACAGCCCCGGCTTGTCATTATTTCCGGCACGACACTAAAGCAGCCAGGGAGAAGTTACCCGCGTTGACTTTAGCAAGTCCTCCAGGGCACAGGCTTGTGCATGCACCCATTCCCAACCTAGATGTGGACTTTTTTATACTCGGTCGCCCTGTGCTTCGAGTCATCGGACCTGCACGCAGCCTGAAGGGGCCACGGAGTCCAGACCCCACCATCGAGGCAACCGCGTAATGGGGGTTACATGGCCTCGGGCTCATCCCTGCGTGCCACGAGCCGCAAAACAGCCCCCCAACACCTCAAGCAAATGGGAGAAACCTCAGCACAAAAGATCCATCGCCGCAAACATGAGAAGAAAAGATGCTGCTGCGGGGATGAATCACGCCTCCAGGCTCTTGCCCCGGCAGGAAATTTGTGCGGAGAAACGTCCCCCAATGATCTTAGAAAGGAGACCACAGAGGAAGACAAATATGACCAAGCAGCCTTGCCAATCTGACGAATGCATCCCCCAGCCTGGCAGTGGGTTTAGCCTGGAGCGTGCCAGCAAGGCGCGCCGACCCGGCACCCGAGAGCTTTCTCAGTACCATCCACTTTACCCTCGTCCCCCAGCTAGGCCAGCCCCAGGCAAAAGCTTTCCCCTCTGAACACCTCCCGTCTGAAGACAGGGACCACCAGCACGCAGATATACTATCTAGTAGTCCCAGTCTCTAAAAGAGACCCCAGGAGTCCCGGCTCCCGGGTCCTGGGGGGGCAGCTGCCCCAGCGGAAGAGGAGGTGTGTCTCCTGCAACATCTGGGCTCTGCAGCAGCGGAGAACAAACCTCTGGTGCAACCGAGCATCCGACTTGCGCCCTCTTTCTGCCACCCAGGGGTGCATGCATAGGCCTTGCCCGGGACACGAGAGTCAGCAGGCGCCCACATTGCCACACCCAGTTGGTTCACTGCGGGGAGGAAGTGCCAGGCAAGACCGTTGTGAAACGGCTTGATGCAACTACAGTAAAAAAAGTCCTTGGAGGAGGCAGCAAATGCCAGGGGAGTTATCAGAGGCTGGCTTCGATTGTGACTGTGCTACACAACCAGTACACATAGAGGGGACACACAGAGCTGCCCACGTGCTGGAAAGCCCACGTGGCAAGCCAGAGCTGGGCTGGTGAGAGGAAAGCGGACTAGGGGATTTGTTGACACATGATTTTGCTTCCTGGTCCTGCCTTTGGTACAGCAAAGAGGTTTCTCTTCTCATTACGGGACACAGAGAACGGATTTCGATTGGGAAACAGGTCGTTTGCAGCACAGAGCATCCTGGCTCAGAGCAAACCTGCGTGGGCCGGCCGTTCTCCTTTCGCTGGGTCTTGCTAGCTCCTTGCCAAAGCCGCAGCAGCACTGTGCAGGCAGCAGGTTGCCCTATGCTGGGAAGGGGCAGAAGTCCATTAGGACTTCCATTTAAGAGGTGCTGCCAGTGCCAGCGAGCTGCCTCCCCTGGGTGCAGGTGTGCAAGAAGTCGGTGCATCATTTGGGTGCTGAAGCCGCACACCCAGCGCCTTGTGAGGCTGCTTTTCACCATAGACCGTGCATACAGCGCACAACACAGCAAACGCTGCAGACGGCCTGACCCCGTCGTCCAACTTGAGCACTGAGCTTTGCTGTTGCGAGCCAGCTGCCCCCATCCTGGCAGGGGAACAAAGGGAGGCCTTGTAAACCCAGCTCTCTACTGCTAGTGCTTCGGGTCCTAAGCCCAAGCTAGGACCTGTTCGAGGCAGCCCGTGTATCGCACCCAGCTGAATATCACCCACCTGGAAACACAGACAGCAAGGGAAGACCCAGATCCAGGGGAAGTCGTGCCATGTCAGCCACCCTCCATCTTTCTTCTTGCAAAGAGCAAGATGCTTGCTGGAACGTGGCTGTGGAAGAGGTTAGAAAACGATCCTCTTCCTCCAGCCAAGGTAGCGGGGCTTGTTTCAGAGTAAAGTGCCCAAGAGGGGTCTGCTATTGCGTCTGCCCCCTGATCGGGAGAGCCACCACCTCTGGGGCATCTGTAGGGCCCAGGCTGTTTTTGCTGGGCGCACAGCTGGTTTTTGCTAGTGACCGGAGAGGCAGACCCAGTTCACTCCCCAGCAGCCGTTGGAAAGGCTGCTTGCTCAGATGCCACCCATCTGGATTCGGACAAATGTGCTGGAGATAAGCCAGCTCAGGCTCTGTTACTTCCCCCTACGCCCTCCAACCTCAGAGCCATCAAGATCCAGCCACCCCCACGAGGGAAGTACTCGTTTCCACGGCGGAGGCAATTATGCTAAGCTGGATCAGCGAATGCATTCAAGATGTTACCACTTGCACCTTCTTGGAATAAGGGGAACCCTCTCACCCCAAATTTGTGAGGCCTCAGCTCGTTTCTGGCAGTGACAAACTGGAGAGGGGATGTGATGCTCTTGGATCAAGTCTGTGGGTAGTTCTCTAACATGTCTGAGCACACGCAGACTAAAGAAACCAAATTTCTAAAGCAGGTAGGTGCTTGTAGATGCAGATAGGTGCTTTGGGAAAGCCCACTAAGCACCTGGGTCTCACAGCTCCTAAATACCTTGAAAAATTTGGCACCTGCTGGCAGTTGCCACGGATGGGACTTTTGACGATGTCACTGTTTCCCTTGTGCATCTTGGATATGGTCTCCCCTGGCTTTCCTCGACGCTTGCTAACAGCCCACTTCCAGCAAACTGGAAGAAGGCAGCTGTGGTCCGTCTTGCTCATCTTGCCAGCCCTCGCCCCAGGATAGGCCCGGAGCTATAAGCCAAGGAAAAGGAAAAAAGAACGACCAACGCCGGACATTTTGTAATCAATGATTTTTTTTTATCTTTGAAAATGGAAGCAAATATTTGGACAGAATACTCTGCTTGCTCTATAAGAGCACATCTCTCAATACTTCGCTGGTTCTCTTCTGGGATATCACGGTTTAAAAAAAAAAAAAAAAAAAAAAAAAAAAAAAAAAAAAAAAAGCTTCAGGCACTGACTCTGGCTGAGCCTGGCTAGGCATCATCAGTTCATTTAAATAAAATACAAGCTAGTAACTAAAAAAATCAAGGAGGACCTTTCCCCGCCCCCTTCTCCTTAAAACCGCCAACCTTGCACCAACGCTGTTTGGGCAGTAAAACCTGGCATTTCAGAAACTTCATTCCCATTGATTAAAAGAACAACACGTCCCTAGCGCACAACCCTGAAGTCAGACGTACAGATTGACATGGAGATTGCTACCCGGGGGAAGAGTCGTGCTCAGCTGTCTCACAAACGCCCCCCCCCAATCTGCTGCAGTGAAAAACCACCCAAATGTTCAGAGCGTGCTGAATGCCCGGACTGCAAATCCAACCTCTAGTCAAACTCCAGCAAGTTTTCTTCAATGCGCAAGGCGAAGGGTGTTTGCCTTGCTGCTCTGCTCACTGCTTTCTTAAAGAAAAAAGATATACCCATCACTACCTTAATGAAGCTTTCCATCCTGTGGAACTGTACACGTTCTCTGTCCTTTCACATCAAATGGCTTGTGCTTCACCAGCTAACAACATCACTTGACTGTCCCAAAATGGTACGACTTCACATTGTCACAAACACTCACAGCCTTCCAGAACAGAGAATCCTTAATCGTTAAGTTTTGAACATGCAAATACAAGAAAACGGAGAACTTGAGAAAGTCTAGCTAACCTAGTGGAGAAGATGGCCAGAGCGCGCTCTGGGAAGGAATACAGACCCACCGCATTCAAAGGCTGTCTTGTGGAGGAGACTCCCGAAGGGTCAGCTGGGCATGTTGGCGTGTGTGTGTGCGTGCGCGCGCACACATGCATGTGTGGTGTGCACGCCCTGCAAGCGTATGCAAATGTGCATAGATATTAAAGCTGCAGCGAGGCAACCCAAGGGTCAAACCTGAAGGCATTTGAGACTCATCAGCTGACTCTCTGCTACAGGCTTTCCTCCGTCACACAGGCCGGCTTCACGTTTGCCAAGAGGAATCAAATGTGTGTCGTTCCACCTCCCGCCCTCCCAAGCGCTGCTGGCACGGCCCGTCACGATAACGGGTAGGCTCCATGGAGTTCACCACCCGTCGCAGCAACCCATGCTGGACCACCAGACATCTGACGTGCTTCGGCCCAGCAGGTGTTGAACCCGGTTGGAATACGAAGCAGGGGTCCCACTGGGAGATGACGTTCGTCACCCGGTGTCAAACACCCCTCTGTGTCGTACAGCGGAGCCTCTTGCACAGTCCCGTATTGGGGAGGCTGACTTGTACATAACCTTTCACTGGAGGATCTCAAAGGCTAGGGCAAGGAATGAGTTGGGGGACAAAAGTAAACTTGGATTGCAACAGGGCTCGCGATAAAGGCCACTTACATCATGGGAAACCTTCAGTTCCCTGGGATAAGATTTTACTGTAGCTGGTGGGGTTGCAAGGCAGGAGTGAGAGGGAGAAAAAGGGGCTGGAGAGGTGGAGGGTGGGAAGGATTGAGATCTGTCGCACTACAATCACCCAAGCTGTTTTTAATGCTGCTTTGGAAGCAACCCCAGGACTGAAAGCTCTCACACCAGCATCAAAACAGGGGCAGAAGTACTGTCAGCTCACAGATTTAAACACTTCTTAGCCAAGGAGTTACCAAGGAGCCTTTGCTGCTCTAGTACAGATGAACAATATTCACTGGAACGGCCGGCATGGACACCTTGGCTACAAGCTACCATCCCATCAGCTTGCAAGGTGACCCTTCAGGGCATTCGGCTTAAGATATTTCATTGCACATCCTAAACCTAATGTTCAGGTGATAAATAACACAAACGTCTTTTGTGTAAATGCATTTAGGCCTTTAAAAAAAAAAAAAAAAAAAAAGGAAAGAAAAGAAAAGAAACACGCAGCCAACAACACAACATGCTCTTGTCACAAGGTCAAAATAATCCAAAGCATGGGGTAACTGCGGAACAGCAACATGACTCCAGGACATGAGATCATCCCATTAGCACGCAGAAATAGGGAACGAGCTTTGTAGTGACTTGAAGCTACTTCACTCTGAACCAAGCAGGCGGCGGTGGTTGGGGACACGTTAAAAAAATAAAAATAAAGGCAGTCAAGTCAGCTCATACGGGTTTATGCAGGGTCTTTACAACAGCTTCGTCCACACTGCGAACGAAACGGATCTGATTGTTCAAAAGGAAAAAAAAAAGAACGCTCGTACAAAATAGCTTCGATTTTGTTCTCTGAAACAGTATAAACACACACAGTCTCACACACACGCACACACTGCTGCCCCTTCCAATTAAAGAAAAAATAAAACCAACCCACAAATACTGCAAAAATGGCATATAGGACAAATGTAAAAAGTTATTTTGAGGGGGTTTGTTTGGGGGGGGGGGGGGGGTTTGGCAACTTAAAAAAAACTCATTAAGAACAATATGGCATTGGTCCCTAATTCTATTTAAAAAAAAGCTATTTGGGCACTCGGTGGAAAGTTGGAACCGTTTGTCCTCAAGAATTCATAAACACCTGGAGCAAGATTGTAAAAGTAGCACTTGATCTTTTAAGTCTGACCAAAAAAAAAAAGAGTCACATAAAATCATTAAAACATCAGGAGGGGGGGGAAAAAAAAAAAAAAAAAAAAAAGAAACCTCTCGCTAAAAAGCTTGGCTTTTAATCGTCGGCTTTCGTTGACCTGAATTTCGGAGGATGATAAAGTTCGTATCGCAATGGCGGCCGGTGCCGCTCGACGAACCTCTGAAATGGAATGTCTTCTTGAATGGCAGTGCCTCCCCAGCCCTCCCGCAGCCCTGCACCCAGCTAACAGCTTGAGTTCTGCTCCCTTTCCTCTCTCCCGCGGCGGCGCTCAGTTTGCAATCTTCGCCATCTGCTGTTCTAGCTTGGAAATGCGCTCGTCTTGATTGGAGATTGTGTCTTTTATAGATTTGAGCTCTTTCAAAATCTCATCCAATTTGGCTTCATTTTGCTGGAACAAAGAAAAGCGCTGGTTAACGCCGCGGGGAGGAGCTCGGCGCGCACGCGAAGGGGCTTGCCGACGCAGGCGTTAAGGAGCGTGGTGCTCGCGGGCTAAAAGGCAGGGTTCAAACATGAGGCAGTGTGCTAATGGCGTGGGGCTCGATGAAGACAGACCCGTATTGGTGGAATTAGTGCCCTCTTGAGAAAGGACGGGAAGGGTTGAGGTTTGCGCTTTTTGATAGAGCCCTGCTCGTTAATAAGCCCCGTTTTGGTCTCCTGACAAATGCTCTCAATGGACTCTCACAACCAGCTACTGTTCTGGTGTGTCAGGCCCAGCTCCCAGACCATGGGGCACTCTCCTCAGGGGACCTGCTTTGGCAGGGCTTATTTTGCCTGATTTTCTACGTCTGGCTTTAGACAAAGGATCATCAGCAAAGATCCACAGCTCTTCACTTGATCAAGTGGCTCATGAAACAAGCTTTGTCAGGGGCCACCACCCCTGAGGAGGAACACACAGAGCAAGAGCAAGATCTTCAAGGCCTTGCCAAGTCCAGGAGACCCAACCTACCAACCAATACAAAATCCCTCTACCAAAGCTGCTTTGAGGGAATGTAAATTCCTCAAAACAGAGGATGGAACAGATGCCAGGCCTGGCCCTCCTGTGTCAAAGGTGCGCAGGGACCCCCTCCAGCTACAACTGATCTTGGACGTAGCTCTCATGCAGAAGACCAACATCTCCAGCAGCCCCCTGACAAGTCTCCCACACCCCGTGCCCATCCCTGCAGTAGGCAATGCTGTTTCTACAGCTGTTTCTACAGCTCAGGGGCTCCAGCTGCATCTCAGACCCCAAAAACAGGTGGCCCATGGCTTTTACTCACAATGTTTGAGGTGTCTACTGCTTTCTTTGGGGCGGTGATGAGGTCGCTCTTCTTGTTGGCGGCAGGTTTGTTGTCCAGTATGTTCTTCTTGACCACCTTGAGGTCCCTGTTTTTGCCGGGAATGTACCCATGTTTCAAGGAAATGAGGATCGGATCGGCGTTCTTCCCCTCAAACCACTCCTCCGCTTCCAGAGCCGCTTCTGGGCCTGCCGTGTCGGGATACAGGTCATCTTGGAAGAGGTCCGACTGAAAGCCAGAAGAGGACACAAATGGTCAGATGCTTTTGGCTGGAAGGCAGGAGGCGGCTTCCCTTGCCCGGCTGCCGGCGGGACTCACCTTTCGAGGGACCGTCATGATGATGGGCTCGCACTTCCGCTCGTGGAGCTTGAAGAACCTTTGGAAGAAGGAAGAAGAGTTAGTTGCAGCCAAGCTAGCGTGGAGCACCACGGCTGGGCTCCATCTTTCACGTCGCCTTCAGGGCCGGGTCACACCCATGCCGGCACCAGCGTGACACGGGGGCCCTGATGTACGTCTACCTTCCCCCTCTGTCTTTACTAGAGACCATCATCCATTAAGCCACTAAGGTACGTCTCTCCTCGTCATGGTTTGTTCACTTCTTTGTAAGCTGTGTCAGCATTTCCTAGCTCACCCAGTGCTGCTGTATTATTCAGGACCCAGAACCCATTTCTCTCCTAAGCTCATACAGCTGCCTTGTGTGCACGAGAAGGAGGTTTTTATTAGACAGCTGAAGAAACCACTTTCACATGGAAGTTTGTAGAGATAACTGAGGTTTAGACTTGACCTGAAACTGACCCTGGGCTTTTAATCGAGGTGGACTGTAGCCAGTTTGCTCTGTCAGATGCTGCTCATCAATTTGTTACGGTCCTAATTTGAACGCTGACCCACTTCCAGTTCAGTTCAGACTGTGTTACCCCAGGGCGGGTATCCATGGTATCACGTGTCACTAGGAGCGAAGACTACTGACAAAGCAGTGGCAGGACGTGAAGCTGTCTCCTGCCTCCCTAACACGGGCTCTCGAAATCCATCGCTCGCTATCTAGGCTGAAAGCATCTTTTAGTGCTGCTCTGGGTGCCATGTGGGCCTTTAGCTTGAGAGAGGTTACTTCACAGCACTGCACAAGCCTGGCCAGCAGTGTCTCACACCAGAGCCGAGCGCAGGATTGTTAAGCAGCAGAGACGTCACAGGCTGCCTTGCTGCTGCCTGCTCCTTCCACGGGTGCCTCTTACCTGGCAATCTCACACTTGTTCACATCAAGGCCCCTCTTTGGCATGAACCCCATCCCTCGCTGCGGCTCCTTGCTGCTGAAGGTGTTGAGGTAGTGGACGTACGGGGATTCATCTGTAATCTCGAAGTAGCGAATGCTGCTGTCACCCTGCAAGAAATCAGAGAAGGAAAATTAGGAGGAATAGCCACTATTGCACGGTCCTGGCCTCTGCTCCCCGCTAAGCAACAGGGGGCTGAGAACACACGAGTAGCTCCTTTCCCCTACAGCGCACCATAAAGCTAGGCTGGGGTCTCCTTTGGTTGATCCCTAGCTCTGAAGAGGAAATGTCCAGGCAAATCATCAATTCCCTGGCTGCTCCTATACTTCCTGAGGCAATGCAGAGCAGGCTGCAAAACATCAGGAGTCCAAAGCTGCCACGAGTGAGGCAATACTGGAGAAGCATGCAGACTGGGAAGGCAGCGCTGAAGGGGTTCAAATGCAACGGCCAGGGGGGCTTGTATTGCAAGGGAATATTCTCTCAGAGCCTGATAACCTGGCCTTCGAGCAGCCCTGCGTGAAAGGAGAGACGCACCAGGAACAACTGTCCCATGAATAATGCATGTTTTATAGCTAATTTCCTCCAGCTGAAGCGTCTATCAATCATCAAGCTAACGGGCCTCGTCCCGGCCTGCTCAGAACTGTCACCATCAGGCAAAGACCCATTACCCCATTATCGTAAAGCAGACCTCCCGTGTAATGGTTATCTGAACAGCATCTCACTGGCCCGTGGCACTGAACAGTGATATCAGCACCCCCTGGGAGACCAGGGACCTCCGCGGCTTGTTTCCAGCTTCAACCCCTGCTGTAGCTGGGGTAGATGAGATAACTCCCTGCCTCAGTGTCCTCACAAGCAAACTGGGGCGGAGGGAAATGCTGCCACTTTTCCTAGAAAGGCATGGGAAGGTTCAACTGTTTGCACGGCACTTTGAAAAGGGAAGTGCTGGGTGTTATCTGACAGCACAATATGGAGGTTTTCTTGTTGCAACAAGGATTTCACTGACAAACAAAAGCCTAATCAGCTGATGGCCGGCACGTGCTGTTGACAAGGACAGGCAAACGTCCGAGTCTGGGCGGAAGGAAAGGCTAATACGATGCGATGCCCGGGGGTATCAGACAGGAGGCTGGAAACCATTATTCCTTGTTGGTGCCAGAGGGATCTAGGACTCCAGAGTCACCAATGCAGCCGGACTGGGAAAAGAGTGTCCTTAGATAGTAACAAAAATACTCCCTCTACTAGCATGGATCCTAATCTTTAATCTTGCTCATCTTTGGCTACTTAGAAACCAGAGAAAATGAGGGTTGGAAGGGACCTCAGGAGGTCACATCTAGTCCAGTGCTTTTCAACTGGTGTGCCGCAAAATGTTTGGAATAACAAGAAGAAAGTTCTCCAGCCGCCTAGCGCTGGTGAATAAACTGTGCCAATGAGATATTCAGAAAGACTCGCGCACGTGTCGGCTGTGGAGGAGAGAGAACCAGCCGATCAGAAGGGAATTCATCTACTGCATGTGTTGGTTGTGGGGGACGCTCAGTTTGCGAGCCTCTGAAGAGCTGTGCCGTGGATTTTTGCTGTGGCAATGAGCTACAAGGAGCTCATAAGTATGGGGATGGCAAATGGAAAATTTGTATTAATGTAAGGGTGCCTTGGGCTGGAAAAGGTTGGGACACACATGCAGTCCAACTGCCTGCTCAAAGCAGGACCATCCCCAACTAGATCATCCCCACCAGGGCTTTGTCCAGCCGGGTCTTAACAACCTCCGAGGATGGAGAGTCCACCACCTCTGGCTAACCTGTTCCAGTGTTGTACTAATCTCCCTGTGATAAAGTTTTCCATAGTATTTAACCTCAACTTCCCTTGCTGCACCTTGAGCCCATGCTCCTTGTTCTGTCATCTGCCCTCCCTAAGAACAGTCCAGCTCCGTCCTCTTTGGATCCACCCTTCAGTTGAAGGCCATTCAGTTTTCACTTCTTCAGACTAAATAAGCCCAGTTCCCTCCACCTCTTCACAAGCCATGTGCCCCAGGTCCTGAACCATTTTTGCAGCCCTCCGCTGGACTTTCTCCAATTTGTCCACGTCCTTTCTGTAGTGAGGGCACCAAAACTGGACACAGGACTCCAGATGTGGCCTCACACCAGTGCAGAATACAGGGAAATAACCACTTCCCTTGATCTGCTGGCAACACTCCTACCAATGCAGCCCAGGATGCTGTTAGCCATCTTTGCAACAAGGGCACACTGCCAGCTCATAGGAAGCCTGCAGCACCTACAGCTCTGAAGGAGCCAGCTTGAAAGAAGACAAGTCTCATGTCCCAGTGACTGGCTCACAGGCATTGAAACTGGCCTTGCCACATGTTCAGTCGTTCGCAAAGTGCATGAGGGCACCCTCTACGTGCATCTTTGTTTAACATTAAGAGAGGGGTCATTACAGACCAACATCAAGAAGAGAGGCAGGCCTGGGCAAAAGGAAAAAAGTCTGACTCATGTTCTTTAGGCACAGCTCTGCTCGCCTAAATAAACCTTTCCCCAGATCAAGGTCAGATCAGAGGCTTTCCTGTAGTGTGGCTTGGTTGGGATCTTGATAAATGCTTAATAGAATGAGGACACTCGCTTCCAAACCAGACACAAGGCCCCAAAGGCCTGCAAACTCTCCTGCAGTCTTGAAAAATTCATGAGGTGTTAGCCTTTGTTTCTCGAGGAGTGGAGAGATGAAACAGATTACAGCACTTTAAAGGGTGTGAGAGAGAAACCATGGTAACACTTTCATCTCTCAGCTCCTACCCCATGGCAAGATACAGGTAAACTGAGGCAGCTAACCTCTGAAATGAAACATGGTGAAGCTACCACGATTTAGCTTCAAATCCTGTGGGTTAGGAATGGATGGACAAAGCAACTGCAACGGCTCAGCAGATGCATGCTTAAAAGTAACAGTCTCTGTTAAAGGACTGCAACTGTTCATCTGCCCACACGCATAGTTTTTCCATCTTTGGTTTTGAAGGAAATGTTGTAGACAAGTTTCCTACGGAACAAGTGATGCTGCGTGAACGAGCCGCACTAAATACTGCTTTCCTGGCCCCATGCAAGCACTAGGGCTGCAGCTGGCTGCAGTGCTACAACCTCAATGCCTTTGGACGCTGCTCTTTACCTTGCCGCACAAGTAAATGATATTGGTGTCTGGGTCGTAGAAGGGCAGCAGCACCCCGTTGCTGGTGTCCATTTCGTGAAGGGCGATGGGCTCTTCCATATTTTTCTGCAAATGAGAATTTGAACCGTACGATTAGAAAACAAAAACACCCCATTGTCGACGCACTGGCTACATTCTTTGCGGTTACAGTCATAGAGGGATGATGCTTCTTCAAAGGGCCACGTGTTACAGCAGCTTGCGCTAAGCAATTACAGGCCGGTTGATTTTCAGATGTTAGAGCCCCAAAAGAGATCTGAGCCGCAGTCACACTCTTAAGTCAGCCGCACAGATAAGGACCCACTGGTCAACTGTCAGCGGGGCACCATCCCAGGCTGGTACACGAAGTCTTTGGGGACAAAGTGGCCTTCTCCAAAGACCATTGCTCTTTTACGAATCACCTGATCTGTTCAGTGATAAATGCCACTTCCAGTATTGAGCTACTGCCGTGCCTCCAATGTTCTTGGAAGGACACCAGCGTCCTCCCCCAGGCACAGGAGAGGTCATCTTAGTTACAGACAAAATGTTACACCCAACCATCCCAGTGATCTCCATTGGTGTAACGAGGAGATGCTGGATTAGACACCTGGAGGAAGGGGGGCTACAACCCCGCTATCCAAACTGAAATGTTGCAAGCGCTGGGAGGCCTGTTGTGGCCAGGAGCTCAACCCGACACGGGGCTACGATTCACCAAAGGGAAGAGCAGTCGAGCAGGACACGTACTGGATTCCACAGGGCAAGCTGCCGCTCGCTCATGCGGCTGAAGCCGGTGGTGAAGATGTTGCCGTCGGAGAGGAAAATGGCTCTCATGGGTCGTGCTCCCTCGTGGGCCTTATCTTTCTCCTGCAATGCAAGCGTGGGGAGAAAAAGCACTTTCAGCATCAAACAGCAATCCCAACATGTCAGAGATGAACTCAAATTTGATTTTGAGTTGCCTGGAATCCCACGGCCCAAAGAGATCAAACACGTATCCCAAGGTAGTCAGTGTTACACCAGCACAAAATAAGTAGCGAACAGATGAGGCAAAAAAAAAAAATCAAACTTCCCCTTGAATCTGGGGTAAAAGCTAGCGGTGTAAATTTATATTGCTTTGAGTTGCATCTGTCCAGGTCATAGGTGGGTGTCTGCTCACTTGGCACCTAGTGCTGGGATGCAGTACTGGCTACCCCAGGACAGCTGCATGCGTGCCCACTCTTGATGCACACCACTCCTCTACGCAGCCAGAGAAAAGTGACCCGTGCACCAGATCTCAGTGCTCAAGGGGAGGCATTCATTACTAACGTACCAGAGAAGCGGCAGCTGCTCAGCTCCACTTTCCCTAGCGGGCAGCATCATGCGCTGGTAAAAGCAGGATCGAAACAAAATTGATTTTTGAGCCATGCCATAGCCCATGCCAATAAAACAGGCAGGCCACTAACTTAGCATTGGCAGCCTCAACTCTGCTACTACAACTGTGCATGAAATTAGGTGTGAAATTATACTGGTGCCATTTTAAAAACTGGACCTCAAATATAGGCAACTCCAGCATGAACCTTAATCAAGGGAGACAAAATCCTACAGGACCTCTCCCCTTCCTGTAATTTTCCCGGGTTTGAGCAAAAATCTCAGCCACCCCCCCATCTCTTCTCTAGATGCTGTTGCAAAGCACCCGCGGCTGGGAAACTGCATTGATTTTACACCACTGCAAATACTCACAGCAACGATTTCTTGTTTCCGGGGGTCGATGACCCGGACTTTTTTGTCCTTGGAAGCCGTGCAGATCAGGCTGCCGTTGCGATTCCAGCTTACGTTGTAAATCATGTCCGAGTGCATGTCGTCCAGGTTGATGAGGGGTTCGCCCGTCCCCACGTTCCAGATGATGACTACGTTATCGCAACCTGGAGGAGGAAAGCAGCCATATATGAAGCGCCCGAATATTGGCATGCGCAGCATACAGGCCTGTCTTTAATGCAGTTTAAAAGCCATTTCTAGCTGTCTCCCTTCTCTGGAGGAAGCAGCAACTCCATCTCCAGCCTGCTTTGCTGCAAAGGCTCCCCAGAACAAAGAGACTCATCACTTCACATGGTTTTAAGATGTGCAGCCAGTGTTTCCCTAGCACAGCCCTGTCATGACCAGAAGAGAAGGACTACTCTCCTTTTAAGAAAGCATCTAGCTGAAAACATCCAAACCAGAACTGTTGCCGCCTGCACGCGCATGTGAGATGATGGCATGTGTCTGACGGAAACATCGCTGCACGCGGTCAATGCCACACGAGACCGGGAAGAGACGGCCCCACCGTGCAGCGTGGCGCCTTCAGGCAGCCTCACGCCGTCTCTTCCCAGCTCCCGCAATTCAAGAATAAGAGGGGACGGATTGAACCGTGTAAGCAGCTCCGGGAGAATTCACGCAAAACCTTTAATGAGGATTATCAGCGGATTAGGGGGATAAAAAATTGATATAAATTAGTAAGCAGGACATGAAGACTATCTGAATAGCTGAGTGGCAGGCTGCAGAAACGCCAGTGCCGGCTGTTGCAGAACATTTCTATTTGCTTCAGTGACGATGGTGCAGCCCAGCTGGGGGAGCAGCCTATGGAAATTGCTTTGGTCCGTGTTGTGCTCAGCTCAATGGGGCTTTTATGGATCTAGCCTGGCCAAGAATACCCTTGACAACCAGGGCCAGAAGCCTTCCTCTTCACTGCAGAAGGCAAAGTACTGCTTCTGGGCCTTTCAGCTACCTGCTATGTCACTGAGCTTGCATTATCCCCAAATCACATGCTGCACCTGATCTTCGGCCGGGGTCTGTCCAGAACACAGCCACCCCAAAGGCTTCCCTCATGCCCTCCCACACCTCTGCCAAGAGCTCTACAGCTTGACAGCCCTCGATTGCTATCCCTACCCCACTTCCAGCTTCCATTTGGCCCCTGGCTGTGAGAACAGAGGCTTTCGCTGAGCAAACGGCCTTTTCCATGCTGGCGAGCATGCTCTGTGCACGTGCAGTGTGCATCGCCTTCAAAGCACCCTGGACACACGGGTATCGGGTCCCTCACCATGGGAAGGAAGTGATGGCCAGGTTTTGTCCTTCACCCAGTTGCACCCAGTCTCAGCCCCTTGTCTGCCTGCTCCCTCCTGCCTCTTCCCCTCAGCATCCATCTTCTGCCATAAATACGGACTCGTGAGCTGCTGAGTCCCGGCTGGGTCCTGCAAGTCAGTGTGGCAATGCACCGGGACCGCACCCCCCGCATGGCAAGGGGAGGCACCAAAGCTCATTTAGGAAGGAGGAACCTCGTTCTCCTCCCTGAACCCCCACGGGTCCCCGCAGTGCCATGCTCCCAGCTGGAAATGCTCAGCCTGAAACCCTCGATGCCTGGCCTGGGATGCAGCATATGAATGACTCTGGGTCCTCAGATGTTGAAAGGCTTCTGGAGAAAAGCCTCAGGGCCCCTGCCTCTTTGAAAATCGCTTTTGTGCCAAAAGTGCTGGCAATTCCTGGTCTGATCACATGCTGAACTGGGATGGGAGAAACAAAGGGGACCCTTTGACTGGAACAAGAGCTGCTGCAGATCGCCTGGGGGAGAGGAGGGAGCCTGGGGAGGTCTGGGCTCCAGGGCCCCCTGCTCCTCCCAGCGTACCCCCTTGGCCCTACAGCCTGCCTTGAGTTTTAGTCTCTGCTGAGAAGCCTGAGTAAGCAGGGGCTGAGCCCCAGGCAAGCAAACAGAGTAGTGTGCGGAGCAAATGCCAGGACTGGTACCCACCGCATCTGCTGGCTGCCAGGACCAGTTGCAGGCCGACTGAGGGCAGGGGAAGCGGAGCGCTCCGCCAGCGAGGGCGATCGGCTGGGAGAAAAGGGCAGGACGCATGCAGTCCTTTCTGTGCGAGCTGCAGCACAGAACAGCTGTCCCGCCTGAGCACATCGCTGCACAGGCCAGGACCCACAGGGCACCATGCACGGATATGAAAGTCATGTGCAATGAACCGAGGACTTCCTCGACTGGCTCTGGCAGCAGGCACATGGCCACATGCTAACAGAGATCTGGGATCTGCTCCCTACAGCCTCTGGGGTCTTAGGCCCTCGCTCATGGCTGTATGGGTGACACCAGCCTCACCTGGGAGGCCACGAGGAGTATCTAGTGCTCGTTCAATCCCCATGCTAAATGCCAAGCAAGTGATGAGAATCAGATCAGCAAAAGCTTCAAAACCCCCAGTCTGTCCGGACAGACTCAAGGCTGAGCCCAGACACTTGATGGCAGAGGTGTCCATCACTTCAGCCAGCACAGGTTCGGTACGGCACTGCTTTCCAGCGTACGACCGACTCGGTCAGCCCTCCGGGAACAGAGCGGTGGAAATTCTGCGGTAAAAATGGGCTGATTTGACACGTTTCTTCTACAGACACTTGGGTTTGGGCGTTTTAGACCTTCTGTAGCATTTTAGATTTGTTTTCAGTGCCGGACACCCTGAGAAGTGATGAAGCAGGAAGAGGAAGAGGAGGAGATGACCACAAAGATGACTGACAAGATAAGGGGACTTGGGCAACCAGCGCCCACCTGCTCGCACCACAGCCGTGGAGTGAGATTTTGCAAAGCGTGGGAGCATTTCTACTTTGATCAAGTATGACGCCTGCAAGGCGTTTGCGGCTGACAGGTCAACGGTGGCCCAGGGCATAGTGTTGGGACCACCGTGCTGTAGCAACACCTGAGGTGCATGCACAGAGGAGCTGGAGAAGAGAGGCCCAGGCAGGCAAACCAACACCCAGCTGTGTGCTGGCCCACAGCCATGGAGGGGAAGTGGGCTAATGGAGCAGGCACTGGTTTCACAGGCCAGCCAGCAGGATAAGGAAGTGAAGAAGAGGAAGGAGGTTGTGGAAGGGCAAGGCCCATGGAGAAGGGTGAGGACACAGCTGCACAGGAGCACCGGGGAGAAGCGCATGGGGTGGTCGTGGAGATGCATGCAAGGACTGTCAAAGAGCATGAGAAGGCCACGTAAGAGGAGGAGAGGTCTTGGGCACAAGTGAGGCACGAGGTGAAAACCTGGGAGGTTCAAGGGTGCTGAGGAAGGTGCACGAGCGCAAAGTGCCCTGTCCTCAGCTGCATTTCACCCAATGCACCAAGACTGGGGACGCACCCGATATGCAAGGCATTTCAAGGAGCAGGTGTACTTTGAAGTGCCACAAAAATGTAATAGTTTCATAGTTTCTAGGGTCAGAAGGGACCTGAACAGATCATCAAGTCCGACTCCCTGCCTGGGCAGGAACGGGTGCCGGGATCATATCACCCCAGCCAGACATCTATCCAACCTCCTCTTGAAGACCCCCAAGGTAGGAGACAGCACCACCTCCCTTGGGAGCCCATTGCAGAGCCTGGCAGCCCTAACCGTAAAGTAATGTCTCCTGATATCAAGCCTGAACCCGCTCTCAATCAATTTGTGGCCGTTATTCCTTGTTATCCCAGGTGGTGCCCAGGGGAACAAAGCCTCACCTATTTTCTGCTGGTCCCCCCTGTGAGTGTATAGACAGCCACCAGATCCCCTCTCAGCCTTCTCTTGTGGAGGCCGAACAGGTTCAGGCCCTTTAGCCTCTCTACGTAGGGCCTGCCCTGCTGCCCCCTGACCGTGCGAGTGGCCCTCCTCTGGGCCCTCTCCATGCTGGCCACATCCCTCCTGAAGTGCAGCGCCCAGAACTGGATGCAGTACTCCAGCTGCAGCGTGACCAGTGTTGCAGAGAGGGGGAGGATCACCTCCCTGGACCTGCTCATGATGCATCTGTAGATGCACGACAAGGTACCGTTAGCCTTACTGACCGCGTCCTTGCATTGGCGGCTCATGTCCATCCTGGAGTCAACAATGACTCCAAGATCCCTTTCTGCCGCCGTGTTGACCAGAAGGGTGTTCCCAGCCTATAGATGCATTGCTGGTCCCTTCTCCCTAGATGCAGCAACTTGCACTTGTCTGTGTTGAACTCCATCCTACTCTCACCCGCCCACCCCCGCAACCTGTCTAGATCTAGCTGGATTCGGTCCCTCCCCTCCAACGTGCCCACCTCGCCCCACAACTCGCTGTTGTCAGCGAATGTTTCAGCTATGGACAGACCTACAACCCCCATGCCCTTCAGGGCTGTTTTTGCAGTGCTTCTGCCATTTCTAGAGCGCCCCAAATGGGGAGACAGACAGACAGACAGATGCACATGCCCTCTGGACTGTTTCAAATGTTACACCTGTTCCCGTCCTGAAGAAATATTCCAAATGTGTTCTGGCCAGTGCGGCTTTTGACCCGTAAAACCATGGCTCTCAATCTCTCTCCCCGATCCCCTCCAGTCTACCCGGACCTTTCCAAAGCTAAAAGCAAGGCGACCTTTTGTACTACAAGGATGCTGTGGACTATGGAGCTCCATCAGACACAAGCGGCCTCAGCGAGACCCCAAGATGCAAGCGATTGTATGGGTCAAACCCAGCCAGCCCCGGCCCCCAAAGGCCTACCAATACTCTCAATCAAAACTCTGTTTAGGTCTGCCTCTGCAGAGATAGCACACAGGGGACCTAGGGAAAATTCAGTCAAAACTGTTCATTTCCATTACAGACGTCCAGACCTAAGTCTAGCCAAAGCTTTGTACAGACTCAGGTCATGTTAAGAAATCATTGCCACGGGCCATCCAGGGACAACCTGGACAGCAAAACACACCTTCCCCCCACCGTATTCTCCCATCCAGAAACACCTGCAACTGAACCTTGCCATATAGACAGAGATAATAAAGGGGATGTTTTAGTAAATGCTAAACACCAACGTTTGGGGAAAGCCTATCCAGGAGCTATGGAGACAGATCCACAAGACTCTTCATGGAGACTCTCAACACGATTGCTATAAAGTTGCACCCAATTCAGTAAGACCGTTTCAAATCAAAACAGGAAAAGCCTTCCCAAGGGGCTACACAGATTCAATTAAATTGGCATCGTTCTCTCCTGGAGGCAGGACCTCAAGCACTGACCACCTGGGAGTGAAACCAGGTCAGCGGCACCTTCAGAGCCAGAGGCTGATGCGAGACCACCACTGGAAACAGATGTGCCCACCAGCGTGCAGCAGCTGCTCTCCCGAACACCTGCGCTAGACAAGCTCTTGCCGCAGACCCACCTTGCTACAGGGTTTCCAGCACCCCCGTTCACACGGTGACCCCACGACAAACTGAAATTGCTTTTAGAAACTTTCTAGTGCTCGTTACTAACGAGGAGGCTGGCAACGAGGGGACTGGGGGGAGGGAGGGGGCCTCTGAGGCACGTGCTTATGACCTCTCTCTGCAGCACCAATGACAGAGCGCTGCCCTACTCTGTAATCACTAGTTACCGTGACACGTCTTTCCATAGGAATCTGAAAGGGGAAGGAGAAATGCATTAAGCTGTTGTTAAAAGCAAGCGTGTGTGCATGGTGGGGAAACTTGAGCAGCTGAACCTGGAACGACCTTTGTACTGGTCGATTAATAAAATCTGCAGTGGTTTAAGCTTCCTTCAGATAACTGCCCAAGGGTGCAAAGCGCTCACCGCAGAAAGCGGCTGGTTGGCAACACCCCAATGCACAGAAGAAATGCAGCATCGCTCCAAGTCCGGGCTGTGCCTCCGAGCCAAAGCTCCTTGCACGGGCACTGCTCTGACTCGCCCTGTGCCAGGGAGCAGGTGCCAGGGGCTCAACAATGCTGCTCAGAGCGACCCGGCGTGGAAGGACATGCGGGAGAACCTCTCATTCACCACCCTGACGCCTCCTACCTGCACTGAGCAGCACGTTGCGCGCGGTCGGATGCCAGGCCACGATGCCAACTCTTTTCGAATGGCCTTCTAACACCACCACGGGCTCCGTCAAGGAGAGAGTGAGGCCGTTCTCTGCAATCTGCCACACCTGCCAAAGAGGGAGGGGAAAAGAGTTACAGGACAGCCATCACCTCTAGGACACATACTGCTCCTCTCTTTGAGGTATCGGTAATATCTGGCCCCTGTGAACTGAGCCAGAAAGGAGAGATGGGGGAAACCATTCACTAGCCCCTGGTACATCTCTCTGCAGATGGGGATGCTACGAGTTCACATCTCCATCCTTCTCCTGCCTAAAGAGTCAACCACGTCCCTTTAAATAAAGGCACTGTCCTGGATCATGGGATTCAAAGAAATTGTCTTGCATCTCAGAAGTGCCTCTGAGCAGCTGGTGCATTTCTGAACTGCAGTTGTCCTCTCTGGGAAGGATCAAGCAGCCATTTCAGAGTTTGGGTTTCCAGTTTTAACAACAGCAGCTGTGCGTGGATTAAACAGCTTTGCCCGCTGGTTTCAGCGTCAAATTAGAAGTCCGGTTCCTGTTGTGGATTCATGCAGGGAGCAAGGGCTGGTGACAGCGAAGCTTAGAAAGGTGCGTCGGCATCGTCCATGCAAACAGCACCGCTGGCTTTCTTCCCTTCCAGCCCCTTGTGGGATCCGTGTGGGGCAAGAGGTCTCTTCCCACGGCGAGAAGGTCCCGTTCGAAGGGAGGAAAGCCCAACCACCAAAGATCAGGCTCCTTCGAGTCCTTCACGTCAAATCAGGACAGTGACTCACTACTGGCCATTCATTCCTGAATCCAGCCTGACCTATATATAGTAAAGACACAAAACGCCAAGCGATGGTAACTACACATCGATAGATGGCAGCAGAACGGCAAATTGTTTCCATCTTCTATTGTTTGGGGTTTTGTTTTATTTTTTTCCCCCCAGAAGGAATCAGATCCTCAGATCCTTCCCACAATACTCGACAGTACAGCGTCAGAGCCAGGTCCTCCGTCAGCTGGTACGAGATGTAATTCAAGTGGATTTTGGAAAATGAAGTGGGCACACGCAGACACGCCGCGAGGGCAGCACGGATTTCAGTGCTAATCTCCATCTCTCCCCTCACAGAGCAAGGGGGCTGTACGCCACCCCCTCCGAGGATGCATCTGAGATGCAAAGATGCTCAAAGCAAATCCGCTCACCTCGACATAACCCGACATGGATTTTCACTGATCACTGACGCTGCTTCCTCAAGGCCACATCTGCCTGGGAAAGATCGCTGCGCATCCTTGCAGAGGCCCTCGGGAGCCAGCGCTGAGGTTTGGGCTGTCGCCACGTTGAATGCCCGAGCCTTAACTGTAGCTTGCATTAGGGCTGGGTATTTGACCGGTCAAATAAAGATTGGTCAATTGACTGGTCAAAAAAAATTGCTAATGCACGTAATACATAGAAAAAGCACAAATTTTCCATTAAGAAATGTGTCAAAAAACAATTTTAAACAAATCATATTTCTGTCAAGAAAACTACCCGAAGAAAGAAGTTGTATGTAAAGTTGCTGTAATCTTTGACCGGTCAAAAATATGCAGTCAATTGACAATATCTGACCGGTCAATCAACCCGCTTCTCAACCCTAGCTTGTACAGTCTCTCTCATTTCTTCCTTGAATTTGTCCGCCTTCCCATTAGGAAAAAAGGCTAGCACCAGGGGGGATACCGAGACATCGTGGCTAGCCATTTTTGACCAGGATGCCAGGCCTCCTGATTGCTTTACCCCTGACTGCAAAGGCAGCGAGAGGCAAAGCACTGTGCAGCAAGACAGAGGAGCGCCCCGACTGCACTGCCCGTCGCCCTCGCCTGCCCAGCGCACCCGGCCATGCTACAGTCGAGGGACAGCTCTGCACCGTCAGCTTTGGGAACCAGAAGAAAGCCCCGTGGGTGGCGACAGGTTTAACAGGGGTGCTGCTTCTAGCATCTCACCCTAAGTGCTGGTTTTTTTATAGAAAAATCAATATATCTGCACAGACTATAGTCATGTTGTGCGAGGCCTTTCCTACCAACAGTCCCCAAATGCTTCATGCACTGCCCGGGAACAGAGGGCAGGCCAGTCTCACAGTCCAACGCGGCTCTGGTCATTCTGGGGATGCTGCCAAGAGAGCCAGCTGCCTATCCGTCAGGCAGATATCCGTCATCAAGGTCAAACTTACTCCATTCAGGAGCGGTGGAAGAGCTATCAGCTAGAAACAATTTCCCCTTTGTATTAACATAGGCCAGACTCAAACCCGAAAGACAAGAGACGCTCTCTAGCCACGACCATGTCTCTCTACTGGAGCTCCGGCACCATCTGATACCCCTGCTCTACACCCCCTCCAGTTGCTTTCTGGGGGGAAAAAACCTGCGAAGCAGAGCTTCCAGCAAAGAAATAATTCGCTACCACTGAGGAGCTCAAGAAGGAGCTATGCACTGGGGTCCTGCACTCATAAATACCGGGGAAATAAATAATAAAAACCTATAGGCAGGCAAATGCTGAGACAAGGGGAACTTGGGAAGGGGAAAAGCCACTTGCATTTCACAGCAGCTGCAGATCAGTGTAATCCTCTGCAGATTACAGACACGATTGGCCTCGTAATCCTGCTTGGTATTGCAAAACCAGGGAGAGTAAAAGGTCAGGGTTCCTCTTCAGGGTGCAGCATCTCATCGGTACGGGAAGAAATCAGAGACAGGGGAAGCCAGGGAGCTTCCACGCTGGATGCAGGGCCCAGTTAGCTGATCACCCAGAATAACAGACTCAAAGGGGACCTTGCAAGATCCATTTCTTTGACCTCAGGAACAATTTCTACCACCTCCATTTTCTGTCAGAGCCTCTGGAACCACCTGCAGCAAAAGGAAGTGAAACCGTGATGAGCTGGCACTCTGCAGCCCAGCGCCTAGGGGAAGGATGCTTCTGCCATTTTGCAGCGCCACTTCCTTTGCACCCTTCCCGAACGTTGATAGCCGGCTCTGCTCGTACTCTCCGCACAGCACAGAGAGGAGCTTGGCGAGTCAGGACTAGAGGTGATATGTTCATAGTCACGTACAGTTTTAGCTGACAGCCTAGGACGAGGCTTTATACGTAGCGGCTGAAGCCAAGAACTGTGTCTGAAGACCTGAGGTTCTAGGTGCCAGCTCCACCCACGACTGCATCGCCTTGGCGAGATGACTTTGCCTTTCGGTACCTCCGTTTGCGCATCTGGAGGAGGAGGAGAATCTCTCATGCTCTCGCACGAGGCCCTTTGTTGTGCCACGTGCCTCCTTGGGCATCCGAACAAATCTTTTCCTGGGCATCTCAGGTGTCCAGATACGGCAGTAAGGGCCGTAAAAGCATTAACAGAACCAAACCCATTGACAGTCCACTGACAGGCAGTCCGATGCTTCCAGTCATTACAAGGGCTCTAGGTCAGTGTTTGAAATATTCAGTAGATGAAGAGTTTATTAAATTCTTTGCCCAATCAAGCCCTCTTCCATGGGCTGGTTTTCATGCTGACAAACCAGCCGCTCACCTTTATGTAAAAGCATTGCCCACTTGTGCTGACATGAATTCCTCTGTTTTCAAAGCCATTCAATGCTATCTATAGGCCCTTGAATAATCAAACATTTTCCAGCTGAATTAAAAAAAAAAATACAACCCCCCGCCGTAGTGAACTGCAGTCGTTCAGAAGGGGCTTCAACATGAACATTTAACTAGTTCCTTATTTATTGGCACAAGAAAATCATTCTTCAGAGAGAATATCCAAAAGAGGCTGCGCAATGAATCTGCATCCTAAAAGGGGCCTTGCCGAAAGCAATGGAGATGGCGCAAGGATTGCTCAGTGCAGATGGGGCAGGGATTGCTCATCCCATTTTTCAGTGAAAGAGCAGAGAAATTAGGTAGGAAAGGATAGTCCTTTATATTCCTGCTATTAAGGCCTAGAGCCTCAGTCAGACTGCAATCCCGTTAGACTGAGCACATGCACTCAGTCGGAGCCCGTGACCCATGCACCGAGGGGCCTGCAGCGAAGTTTTGGAAGAGTCACACAACTACATGCGATTAAACGATGCCAGTCCAACCCGGACGAGTTCTTCACTGGCTGCGTGGCTGGTTCAGAAGGCATCTAGTAGCTCAGCTTTCCAATGTCAGGGAAGCAAACTGGGCTGTGCCAATGCCACTGGTTTTTCCACGCAAAGACAAAAGAAGCAGGTTACTCCCATCTCCTAAAGAGCCTGCTTCTGCAGAACAGAGAAGGCTGTGAGATTTTGTTGCTGCTTTTCTCCTTCTTTCGACCCAAAGCAAAGCTGCAGGTTGTGTGTTCGCTCAGGCTGGTACAGCTGCTGTCATGAAGGCAGCGTTGCAGGTATCAAGTTGGACTCGAGACATTTAAAAACATGAACATGCTCGTGCTTATACCTGAGATTGCACTTCACGCATTTCACTTGGATTTCACCCTCCGATCCCTTTTCCAATGCAGATCAACAAGGGCTTGGCAAACGCCTAAAGCATTATAAAGCAAATCACCCGCTAAATGAACACAGGATCCGGGGCACCAGGACTCCCCGTGGCCTGCACTAAACTACAGAGCTGCTATCAGACTTGAGCGAGGTTCATCCAGCGCCCACAGGGCACTTGCCGAGTCAACAGCATCCGAGCTTTCATTTGAACAAGCTTCTAGCTCTCCCCGTTGCAAAGTTTATCTACCCTATAAAACACGTGTGCAACCGACCTCATAGAAAACCTGAAACATGGCTCAAGGAGGCACCCTCAGTCCCGTTAATCTCAACAGGCTGTTAACAAAGGTCTAAAAACACTTCACAGGCCATTAACTACCTAATTAAGACTATTTTTATCACTGGGACCCCGGGAAGTGTAATACTTGGTCGTTACTGCTGGGGAAAAATGGGAGAACAGAGACAGAAAACAGCAAAAGTGATGACAAAAAGAGCAGGAACAGGAGTGTCCATCCGGGCAAGAACATTTTGAAGCTCAATGATAATGAAACGTACTTTGCTTTTACCCCCTCTGCCCCCTTTGAATGTCCTGAAAACATCCTCTGACATCAGTGGGAGATCCACTGGGGACTTGGGGTACTTTACTGGACTACCATTTTTAGCCCCGATTCATGGGCCATAATTAAAAATGACATTTTTCAGAAGCAAAGTGGATACCCTTGAGCCGAATCTGCGATTCTCCTGATCATAGCAGGTACGATTTTCTTGATTCATCTCAGCTACTCACAAAGAGTGCAGAGGTGATGAACAACTACACTTTTTTTTTTTTTTAAATAATACCTGCACGCTCATTTAGAGAGGGCTCAGGAAGCTGGCGGTTTGCAACCTTTAATGAAGACAAATGGAGAAAGCATGATGCTAAGTTGCTAAGGCCCAGACAAGACAGCGGTCAGCGACAGACCGATCCATTAGGGCAGCGCATCCTCCTACCCAGAGCAAGCTTGTTCCCTTCATTGTAGCTCTACCTTGCCCAGCTGAAAATGTCTGAAGAGGTTTGGGGTCTCCGTCACTTCTCTTTGAGACAACTCCACACCTGATACAATTCACCCTGACATCTCCCTACACACGTCAGTATTAGAAGTAAATTGCTTTTGAAACCGTGTGAACCAACACCCATTTACCATTTGCAATGACGGTACTTAGTCTACGGTAGATACACCTGTCCATTCAGGTGTCAGTCTTGAAGGCCCTGTGTAAAGTACCCTACTTCCTTACTTGCTGAAGGCCAACCATCTCCTGTTAGCAGGTCTCAGGTGGGCAAGCTGCCACCGCATGCAGCTGATCTTCCTGGATCCCTCTGGATCCTTCCAATCTGGTTCCTGCGGCACCTTGAATTAGAGACTTCTTTCTGGTCCTGTAAAACAGCAATAGCTTTGGCTCTGCTCATTCTGCTGATGTCTATGTTCCCAAGCACGTTTGCTCCACTCCACGTGCCCTCTCTATTGCAGCTTCCCGCAGAACGCTGGAACTGGGATCCTTTGACCCCAGGTGACTTCCTGCCCCCGGGGCAGGGGGCTGGACTCGATGATCTTCCGAGGTCCCTTCCAGCCCAAATGTCTATGAAATCTATAACGCCGGTCCACTTCCGTGGGGAACATCGCAAATGCAAGTTTGTTTGCTCTTTTTTAAATGAGAACACGGTACATTTTGCAAACGGCCTCTGGCTTCCAAGACAGCTCGCAGGCAGTACAGTCCCCGAACAAAGACCGCGGGGAAGAAAGCCCCCGTCACTGTCAGTGCTTGTAGGATGAAAAGAAGGGAAGCTCTAGGATTCACTTGACTTTCCCCATAACAAGGTTTCAACATGAAGTTTCTAAGCGAAGCTGAAGACTCTTCAAAGCGACACCAGCGCAGGGGGACATGCTTAAAATTGTTCCGCAGCGTTAGCATGCCCCGAATTGGACGCCTGTCACTGCTGAGGGCCACGTATTGTTCAGTGCGCTCTCACCAACATCAGGAGCAACTCGGGATCAAGGCTGGCAGCTGCAAAATTTGGATTCTCTCTAGGTTTTGACATGTGCACACGTCCTGTTGATGTAGGAAACAAAAGTCTATCGCCCCTAAAACCAGGGCTGCCGCAGTAATAAAACCAAGTGGCCTTGTCCTTCCTTATTCCACTGGTCCCACACCTCCGCTGTTGAAGCTGTAGGGTAGGAGCCCTTAATCTGGCTCTCTTCCTTCTCCTCACCCCTCAGAGGCAGCAACCAACTCCCAAGGTCAGGAGGGGAGAGAAGCCTTCCAGAAATGCAACGCAACAGATTCCCCCGTGGTTATAAAGGGTGAGGAAAGACCAGGTAATTACACCAAATCAGACCCCCCAGCAGGACACTACGAAGAGATACGGTCCTTGTAAAGGGTTAAGCTTTTTGAGCAGTGCAAGAAATAAAAACGGATGTGCGTGAGACTGCAAAATCCCATTGTCCCACTGTGTTTCCAGGCAGGACTTAAGACTTTATACAGGTTTCTTCCTAGCTAACAACTTGGTGAACTTCATGCATAAATATCACGCAGTACTGCAACGCCCAGTCTAGGCTATCTGACCTGGTGCTTCTGCGCCAGACTTCTCCTTTTAGCCTAGCAAAGCATCCGTACCCACACCCAGAGAGGAAATTTTCTCGTGGAGGCTTCACCCTCACCATCACGCAGCTGTGATGGGCTGTCAAACACCTTTCTTTCCTCCAGGATTTTGACATCGCCAAACATTTTTCTCATTGCTTAATCACGGACCAGACTTTTATCTGCTGTATTCATATATACCGGATGCCCACAGCTGTCAAAAGTCCTGGGAGCCAAAGCCTGCACCTGATGGCTGGGTAGGACCTTCCAGCAGGTCGTAAAAGTAGAACATTTTCACAGGAAGCATATACCTGTTTTTCAAAGCAGAAAGTCACCTGTACACTCAACCTTTTACGCTGAAATAAGCCTCAGTAATGGAGCTGTTCCGGATGACAATGAAACATCAGGACCATAAAAGCTTGCTCACCCTCTCTCCAAAAGCCTTCGTTTGAAGAGTACAGAAACAAGGGAAGTTTCCAAAACCGCCCAGATCTTGGGCTTTGTAATACAATGGCCTGAACTTACCATGACCGTGCAGTCCTCGGAGCCGCTGGCAATGACTTGATCGTTGTGAGGACACCAGTCTATGTCCAGCACCGGTCCCGTGTGACCGCACACCGTCGGGTAAGACTTGTCAATTCTACCTGTCTAAAAGGGAAAAAAGAGAGAGAGCTGTGATGTGCACACCAATCCCAGACAATGCACCTGGCACGGCATTTCACAGCATCAGGGAGACCATGTCCTCAGCTCTCCATCATCTCCTCCCAAACCCCGCAGTACATTAAGGCCTTGCTTTTACGTAGCTCACGTGTGAACAATGGAAACTTATCTGGCACGAGCCCAGGCCTGCTTAAATGCTGAGAACCTCCGAATTTGAGACGTGCGTGCACACGCATGCAGGAAACAACGGGGATTTGTGCTCTTACCAGTATATAGCCACCCAGCTCCCACGGGTCTTACTGGGAGATGCTCCGGACAAACAAGGCCACACTCATGCTTGGGAATGCCAAGCAGCAACATTTCCTTAGCAACATCCCCAGCAAAGCAAGGGGGTAGCACAGCTCCTATCTTGCCACCCTAAGGTTTTGGTGGAGGCCAGCCATGACTCCAGGCAAAATGGATGAGTGTTCGGGTCACTGACTCCCCCAGGCTGGATGGGTGTTTTTATTTTAAGGGAACTGAGCTTGTTCGTGGAAAAGGCTGGATAGGCAACTAGGCAGAGCAAGGCCTTCTTTTCCCAGAAGAGAAGCAGCAGACCACAAACATGCAGACTTCCAGCCCCACCAGCCCGCCATGATACACCTGCCCCTCTACTGGAAGAAGTATGATTGCAAATCCCGTTAACCCTCTCCCTAATGCCTAGCCACCATCCTCTGTAGTGGGCCGACTTGCTGATGACGATGCTGCTCTACCGGGTACCAGGGTAAGACCAAGACAGTGGTAAGATCCACTATACAGACAGCTTCCATGCCTACCTACAACACATGCAAACCATGTTTGCCACGGATGTAGCAAACCTCTAGAGCATTTGCCTAAATCAAGCCCGTCATAATTATAAATCTTCAAAGAAAACTAACTCCTGCAGAGGTTTGTTTCCGAATTCGAGGAGACTGAATTTGAGTAATTTACAGTTCGTTCAATTATTCAAATTGCTTCCTGGTTCGACAGTAAAGTGACTGTCAGCTGTAACCACCGCTCTGGCGACCGATTGCTTTCACATACTAATGGCACAAGGAACGCCGGAGCTTGCTGCAAGCGAAAAATTAAGAAAAGGAAAGAAAAAAAAATGGATTTCCTTGATTGCAAGTCATCCCACCGGTGTCTCTTTTCATGTCTATCCCACGGAAACAAGGGATATAAATATTTGAGTGCTGGCAAAATGCATGGGAGGTTTGTGAAGGTAAAGTGCCCAAAACCGCCTTCAACTCTCTTTTTAAAACTTGCTGGATTTCAAACCGACCCCATTCTTCTTCCTTTTCTTTTTTTAAAGCAAAAATGTCTGCGAGAAGAATGGTAAGGAAATCTCATGGCCAGATTTGAATTGAATTGATCTGATGACACGGATGCAGCAGCCCGAGTGTCAATTGTGCTGTTTGGTGGTGACGTTCCTTGACCTTCAGGTCTGCTCCTAATTACCGTGAAGCCAACTGCTGCAACTCAGAGCTTCCTACATAGAACGGGGCTGGATACTAGCTCCTGAGGACTATCAACCTTACAACCTAGCTGCCAAGTAAAAAAACAAACCCCCCCTGAGATGTCTGTTGTAAAGGAGCAAGAGCTGATGTAGTTACGAAACCAAGCAGCAACCACTTCCTAAACGGCTAAATTTAGGCTTCACAGACAATGCTGCGTTGCTTCAACGTCCCCCTCCGGTTGCCTCTGAAACTCTTTAAAATTAAAAACCTGACACAAACCAGACGCCCTGAAGTCGCTCAGAGTTAAAGCCTACTTAAGTCGTTTTGCATGCTCTAATGTTAAAGGTAGCAACAGGTTAAAACATTGAACTGATCAACTTAAAAAATGAATTACTCACAGTCTAGTATCTCTCAACACTGGGCTGCATTTTCCCAGTTGCATGACAAATCAAATCCAAATAAAGAGCTAAATCAAAAGGAACGGGTAGTTAGGAATGAGACTGAAACAGGTAAACGAATAAGTATAACCATTCTTAAGGAAGGCATAAAGTTATTTTCTGAGCCTAAGAGGATATGACAAGGATTAGCTGCAGATTATGTTGGTGCCTGTTTGACCAAGCAGTTCTGGGTCTTTTAACAGTCTTCTCTTAGTGGGGCCGGGTAACCCAGTTTGAACTAAGGCATTAAATTACAAACTTTTCCCACCTGCCTAATCAAGACACCAGACTACCGTGACTTCAACCAGCTGAGTGACTGTGACAGCAAACTCATCCTAGGGTAATAAGCAGGGATCCTGGTTTTCTCCGATTTAAAAAAAATCCCGTTTTTGGTTAAAAAAGTAATCCCAAATCCACGTTTCCATGATTAAAATGAAACATCACTATATATACACATAGATATCTATATAGATATCTAGACAGAGATATCTATGTAGATATCTAGACATAGATAGATATCTATCTCATATATATGAGATATATATGTATATACGACATATATATACTGATGTTTCATTTTAATCATGAAATTTGGATTTTGGGGTTACTTTTTTTTTTTTTTTTTTTAACTGAAAATTGGGGATTTTTTAAAGCAGAGAAAACCAGGATCCCTGGTAAAAAGAGACTGCCTGGGAAGTTTCTGAGGGCCTAAGTTGGAGCTGGGTTTTTATAACCATCTTGAAGCATCATTAGTGCAGTCAGGTGCTGTGGTCTGAAAGCAGCCCTGTGCATAGTGACTTCGGATCCAAACACACTCATTTTACACAAGTCCTCCTGGTCAGCCAAGCAAACCCGAGCACAGCGACTCCTGACACCTTCTTTCCTTCTTGGCTACCATTCGGCAAAACAGCTTGGGAGCCCAAAATAAGGCAGACACTCCTGGTTCCCAACTCTACCATCGCCAAAATGACCACTTCGGCAACAATTTGCAAACCGTCTTCAATGAACTTGTAAACGTGGAAATGACTGAGGGTGGAAAACTGGGACTCGGGTTAATAATCCATCTTGCGCAGTATCATCTATGGTACCTTTGCAGGGGGCAGAAGGAAAAACCAGAGCACAAATCCTTCTTCTCCTGTAAATGGAGTAGCTATTGCCCTGGAGATACAGGGGAATGGTTTGGGGCAAGACTTTTCCAGAGCACTGATGCACTTTGTGGTTTCTTTCTCTCAAGTCGAACACTTCAGACGTAAATGCAAAGTCCGTCAAAAAGTCAGCAGAAGTACACCGGAGCGTGGTCCAGGTGAACAGTATAGGAGCACGAGTTATCATGCAGATTGGTCACATGGAAGATGTCAGGATGGCAAACATGGAAACAAAGCCCTTTTAACAGGAGAACAGAGACAACATTGGGCTTGGATATGGATGTGTTAAATCAGGGTGCGCTGGCCCCAAACCGAGAAAGAGAGAGGGCTCGGATACATCATTTTATGAAGGTGAAGGGACAGGGAGCGATAAAGGGTGAGCGGGATGTTTGCACACGTGCGGGTGTCCAGTGTTTGCACGGCACTGGCCAGCGACCATGCTCTCAGGACACACCTGCATAGCGGCACCGGCACACAATTTAATTTCTTATTATTAAGGATTCTGGCTAAAAGCCATGCTCTCGAAAGCACGACTGCACGCATCAGCCAGCGCAAGGGCACATCCGCTCCCGTGGCTGACCACGCAGCCATCCAATTTTTACATTGAAAGCAGTGGTCCCTGGCGCCCCGAAGAGTAGCAGAGCTATCGTTTGTCCAAAAGACTAATCTTGCAGGGTCCTGACAAAACAGGAGCGGTAAAAATAACCAGGCAAGCCCATGTAGAGGCGCGTGAGGGCTGATGGTAGGAACGGCCGCGCCGCTCTCCAAAAGCGCGGTCTACAGCTAAAAGAGGCCTGATCATTTTGGTGAAGCTGGTGAGCTGCGGTCAAACAAAAAACACTCTGTTTTCACAGTACATCGGAAATCACGGGGTTTTTCCTAAGCCCTCGGCAAAGAGGAAGAGCTGTGCAGAGCACTGTTTCCACACTCGCATTCGACCGAGCGGTTCCCTTTTCAAAAACATTTCTGTTCCCTTTTCAAAAACATTTTTGATCCGACCGTATTGCTCTCCCAACAGAGCCAGCCGCGCTGCTGCAGGACAATGAAACCCATTACCCGCTCCCAAGTCAAGCCCAGGACATCCCCTCTCCAGCCACGGCGCTCTGCACGGAGGTGGCCTGGGCAGGAGCATCACGAAGCCTTGCGGCCAGATAGGAACGTCCTCAAAGAAAAGTTGTGGATTGCCATATTCGCGTCTGCAGCGTGCTTCCCAGCAGTTTGGGGTCAAGTATGGTTCCAGGTGGGGAAAGGCCCACGCTTTCTTGGGCTTCACCCCTGCCAAAGCACTCTGCACACAGGGGCCTGGCTCAGTTTTAACTCCACTTAACGACTTCACACACCCGCTCTGCTCTCTGCTGGCTGTGTGAGTCCTGGCTGTCTCTATACCACTTCTATAATGAAACCATAATAGTAGACTATAATGGTCGACTCTTAGCACTCTTCCCAGAGATGCTCCTAAAAGCAGCAGTGAGATCTGCCCTTGTACACAGCCTAATGCCTGCTGGGGCAGAGGTGAGTTGAAGTGGAGCTTGGGGCTTTTTCTCCACCGGTTTATCAAAGAAGGCATCATCGTTATAAGAGATGCCCTTTTGTGGACGTGCTGGTCTGGATCTACTTCCCACCCAAGGAGAAGTGGGAAGACCACACGGGACAGCATCAAGCAGAACGAACACAGGCGGGAACAAGGAGCCCTTGCGCTCTAATCCCAGCCCTACAGTGGACTCACCATTTGGAGAAAACCAAGTAGTCTTCCCAGTGACACCGTAGGGAAACTACCATTAGTTGGGGGGGGGAAATCAGCATGCATGAAAAGCACTAAGTGCTTGAACACATCAATTAAATACAGACTGTGTCATTATTGCAGAGATGAAGACGCTAGAAACAGTCATTTTGGAGCGTGGCATGAGAACAGCCACTGAAAAGACCACATT